GAAGTAGGTATTAGCATGACGTTTTACAGGTTTCTTCCTGTATCCAAACCACTCAATATGGCTTACCTCACCAAATAATAAGTATCAAAACATTTATTCACAATGTTTGAAGCATGGGCAAACTGGTTAGTAGGCCTGGCTGTACGGAGTGGGCCTGTCGTATCGTTGTACAGTATATGCCCGCACACCACCACTGACAGGTAATTTCAATAAAACCACAATGTATTTTCAAGCAGGGAAAGAAAACAAACCCACAAACCTCAATGTCTTCCCTCACACAGGAAATATTATTCTTTCTGCATGACATCATTAAACCCATTTTGGTGTGATGAGAGCTGGAACGGTGTTCTTCTTAAAGTGACAGCTACAAACATCTGAAATATATTTCTCTCTGTTAGCTACAAGGAGGAAAAGATCAGCACTCTACATTCAAAGCCATGTGATTTAAGAGATTTGAGGGCGATTTCTTTTTTTCTTCTGGTACTTGGTCTGGAATTGTTTCCATATTTGTCAAGCGCTCATGCTAGTGGTTGATGGAAAGCAGTGGTGTCACACAAAGTATAGGTCCTCGTAGTGAGAGGAAGGTCTGTCACAGCTCAGACACCGTGGGGCTTTTTGAGTTGGGGATCGCTCTCCCCCAGTCCCCTTGTTCATTTATCTTCTTTACGCCGCTTTACTTTTAGAACGTCACAACTGACAACCATGCTTCTCCTAGAAGGCTGAGAGCTGGGGTTTACCTCAGGCTGAGGGTTAGGGCTGAGAGCTGGGGCTGAGAGTTGGGGGTGCAGTTGGACCTAAAGCCCCATATACTGTAACTAGCGTGACAAGCAGTAAAATGTCAGGTACTTTAAAGCTTACTTGGTAATTGTTGCCATAGCGTTGCTTTTCACCCTCACACCCACACACCTCTCAGGATGGGGGTACCAAACTTTGATATGATATCCCAAGAGTCCAACAGAAACTGAAGTAAGCTTGGATTTGAAAGATTATTTTTACAGGACAGACACAAGCTCCATTCTCCACATTTGAAGTGTCAACCTGGTGCTAAGTTATTGACTGCGACTTTACTCATATACACATGCATGAGCAGTCACATTTACATATGAACAGCCTGAAGTTGTGAACATATACACACTCACACGTGCACTCAGACCTGCACACACACACACACACACGCACCAAAATGCACAGCATTGTCTTAGACCATTAGTCCAGAAATGTTGTTGCAAAGGGCCGAACATCGGTTCCCTGCCAGATGTTGTAAGCTGTTGCGCTAAGATTAAGATTCACTCCCTTCCTCTCCCCTAAGAGTAGAGAGGAAGGTAGAACATTTGGTTGACTGCCAGTTTTATAGGTCAGTATAGCCATTTTAGTTATTTAATCGGTTATTGTTTATACCCTGATTATGTGCTCATACATGCCAAATTCAAGTCAGATATCATTTTTTCCCAGTATATTTTAATAATGAAAATACCTAGTTAAAATTGTAGTTTAGATGACGTAAAGTATAGCAAAGTGGGCCAGTGCTCCAATCGCCAAATGCACATTTGGAAACATGCCTGCTTTTATAAGGTATTGACAGCACTGTTTATAGTGTTTTCTCCCACAAGACTAAACAGCTCTGTTTCTAGAACAACTACTTTTTCATTTCATTTAGCAGACGCTCTTATCCAGAGCGACTTACAGTTAGTGAATGCATACATGTTGTTATTATTTTTAAAAATTATTTTATACTGGCCCCCCATGGGAAACGAACCCACATCCCTGCCGGCCAAACCCTCCCCTACTTTGGACGACGCTGGCCCAATTGTGCGCCGATCTCCCGGTCACGGCCGGCTGCGACAGAGCCTGGACTCGAACCAGGATCTCTAGTGGCACAGCTAGCACTGCGATGCAGTGCCTTAGACCACTGCGCCACTTTGGATTCTCAGTTGTGAAACTACAGAGAGATGTCATGAGTGTGGCGGTAGAAATGGGAAGTACTGGTTTTCATTACGCCGTCATGTGATCAATTAGCTGGACTTTAATAGGCCCTGTATTATACTGTGCATGAGTCTCTCTCAGGAGAAGTCTGCTAAGAGGTTTTCTGTTGGATGTGTGATTAACTTAAGTTTCTGGCTGAATTTCTAAAATGATTTGACCAAACCAAGCCTCATGCTGGCCTCAAGGGAGGTCTATACCTGGCTGCAACATATTTTTCATTAGGTATTTTGTTCCAGGATTACAGGACTAGGCATAATTTGCAGGGGAGCTGTAATATGACATCCTGGCTAGAACTACCATTTCCCCTCCTTCCTATTCTTCCTAAATCTTCCCAAACATGATGGTGGATGGGAGGCCCCTTGGATCAGCCTCCCACTGTGTGTGCTGTGGGAAAGAGACGCCTGCTGTCTAGTGTGGCACACACACACACACACACACACACACGAGGATAATGACATTACCCAACCAGAACCCTCTTTAAACAAGGCAGAACATAGTCTAGCACCAACAAACACAGCGGAGTTGACCTGAGAGGGAGGAGATGGCCTCAGCACAGTTACGATAGCACATAGACTGGTCCCTGTGATGGCCATATCTGGGAGGTGAGGTCTTGCATATGAAATTCCATTAGGGACCGTGAGCAGAGACACATACAGTCCAGGGTAGAACACAGATTGTGTTTGGCTAACCAAAGAACTGACAACACACATTTAGTCAGTGAAAGCCCGAGAGATGTAGTAGTGTTTGTATTCAGACGTACAGATATCAAGCAGAGATAAATTATAGAGTAAATGCTTGTACAAGTAGGCAAACTCAACATGTGAGATTGTTTGTTATATTGCCCTTGTTCTGCAGTAGGCTACAGCTAGACAGTTTATCTTGACAAACGGTAATAATTTCACTTTATGATATGGCTAATATCCTGTCCCTGCATCTCTATTTCTTGTGACAACATTCTCTGACCTTATTCCACAGAAGGATAGGGGAGACTCTACTCTACTACATCACTTAGTCATAAATGTCTCTATGTAACAGTGTAACATAGTCCTCTAAAGTGCACTCAATTCTATTTCTCGTTTCCTATTTCCCTAAAAGCAGTATTTCATGAATCACTTACAGCTGTACGATTGTTACGTTTTAGTGATACTACAGTAAGTATGTGTATCTCTGATTTAGCTCTGTAGGCTAAATCAATCTGACCTCATAGTGCCAGTCAAGTAGACCTATGCATCATTGTGCTGAAATAGGCATTTATAAGACCTTGGGCTTCTCCATGTCGGTACTGCTACCTACTGCACACAGATCCTCATCCACTGTGCCCTGTTAGTTACCCTGCTAATACCACCCTGGCTCTGGTCTAGCCCTATCAGAGATAACCTGGGTCTGCTTCTCACTGGACAGATTAAAGTTTCCTGAGCCATTACCAGAATAATCCCTAATGACAAAATGAAAGTTCTGCCTACATGTCTGTAGCAGACACATGGTTTCAGTCTGCCAGATTGGCTGCATGTCTCAGGCTAAGAGTAGAGCGTAGCTCAGGGTCCAGCATCTGCAACACATTAACAACATGTTCCTGTGCTCTTTTCGAGTCTATCCTCCAGATTCATGTTCAGCCATTGGGGCCCCAGGTTATTCATCTCCTATAAAGGTAAATAAAGGCTAGTTGATAGTTGAGTCAGAGTTAATCTTCCAATGTGAGGTGCATTTACACATGAACAACCTAAAGTTGTGAACATATACACACTCACACGTGCAGACCTGCACACACAAACACCCCAAAATGCACAGCATTGTCTTAGTCCATTTGTCCAGAAATATTGTTGCAAAGGGCCGAACAGATCAGATCAGCCTCCCACTTTGTGTGCTGTGGGAAAGAGACGCCTGCTGTCTTGTGTGGCGCCCGCACACACACACACACACACACACACACACACACACACACACACACACACACACACACACACACACACACACACACACACACACACACAAGGATAAAGACATTACCCAACCAGAACCCTCTTTAAACAAGGCAGAACATAGTCTAGCACCAACAAACACAGCGGAGGTGACCTGAGATGGAGGAGATGGCCTCAGCACAGTTACGATAGCACATAGACTGGTCCCTGTGATGGCCATATCTTGAAGGTGAGGTCTTGCATATGAAATTCCATTAGGGACCGTGAGCAGAGACACATACAGTCCAGGGTAGAACACAGATTGTGTTTGGCTAACCAAAGAACTGACAACACACATTTAGTCAATGAAAGTTTATCTTGACAAACTGTAATAATGCCACTTTATGATATGGCTAATATCCTGTCCCTGCATCTCTATTTCTTATGACAACATTCTCTGACCTTATTCCTGACCTTGTTCCTGTGCTCTTCTCGAGTCTATCCTCCAGATTCATGTTCAGCCAATAGAGCATCAGGTAATTCATCTCCTAAAAAGGTCAATAAAGCCTAGTTGAGTCAGAGGTAATCTTCCAATGAGAGGTACTAATCGTTTTCAACACCTTCTACTGCCCCGGCATGACCACAAGGCAATTTTCACTCCAAACTCTTTATAATTTAAGTTATGGAGGTCACCAAGCTTGGAGGCGATAATCACCCCTAATAGGAAACCCCTTTGATCAAACAAGCTTCATTGAAAGCATTTCCTAAAGTTGTGTTCAAGTGTTTTGTTTTATTTCCCCGCTTATGGAAAAATAATTTACATTAAATAAAGTTAGAAAGATGTTTGGCTTGTTGCTCCATATCTGATGGATTTATTTGTCTAAATGAAATGTACAAACAGTGCTTTGAACAAACTAATCAAAAAAGTATGACTTCACTAATCCAAGACATGCTGGTAAACCAAGCTGTTTGGGAAATCAACAGCAAATCAACTTGCCAGTGTCCTCTGAATATTACTGTAATTAAATTTACTTTACAGCAATGCACTCTTTGATCCCACTTTTGGGTTAATATACTGAGTTAAGCCACCTCAACCTTATCTGTGATCTGTGGTCTAGGAAACCCTCAGGGTTTTTGGCCCATGACCAGCTTCCCCTGTCTAACCACCATACATGTCTCTCTCTCCTGCTGTGTGTTTGTGATTCAGTGGATGAGACACTGGTGAGGCTGGTGAATGGATCAGGCCCTCACGAGGGGCGAGTGGAGGTGTTCCACGAGAGGCGCTGGGGAACAGTGTGTGATGATGTCTGGGACAAGAAGGATGGCGACGTGGTCTGCAGGATGCTTGGCTACAGAGGAGCCTTCGAGATTCATAAAACAGGCCGGTTTGGACAAGGTAAGCCTTTTGGCCGTTTTAATCTCTATCGAGTTGTGAACTAACTACAGTGCAGACTGTGATAAACTTGTGGAGGGTGATTATGATTTTTACCATTTGTTTTTGTAATTGTACTTTTTTATGGTGGGTATTAGAGCACACAGCATTCGAATACTACTGAGATCCATATACGTTTATAGGGAAAATCATAGGAGCCAGATGCCATCAAAAATGTGCCAGTGGTAATATCCATCTGTTTCCTCTCTTATGACCTATTTTCAACAACCATCATTATATCATGCATAAACACACATCTCTGTTTGGTCCAATCAAAATATTATGGTGTATTAATATTATTTAGTTCAAATTAATCTGGAAAATTCCAAGAACCATTCTTTAAAATTAACAATAATTCACATGTACTTTTGAGGATTAATTAAACAGTTGTAAATGTGTCTTTCATAGACCCCATTTGTGAAGCTAAATTTAGTTTTTTTTATTCTTGACCTCATCCTGACCCATATTTGTATCTATAATTATGTTAGAGACGACATTGTGCATGGTCAATCCAATAAATAATTCTCAAAATTAGTGTTGAGATGCTGGGTAAACCAGTTTAGGAGGCATGTCTAGTTAAAAATAAACCCAACAGTGATGTATTAGGCCCAGCTCCAAACATCTGTGGTGAATGTATACTATGCTATACTGGTCCTGGCCAAGTTTCCTTTTCAAGTGTGCTTCATGTTCATGTTGCACTCAAGATGTTTCAGTTATTCAATGTTATGTAGTTGGTGGTGCTCAAACTTGGAGTCTTCTCTCATGGTGCTAAATGTGGTAGAATGACCTTAAAACAGAAACTCTGATCATACAGAGTGTTTTCGCCAACATTCTGAGGGAAAATATTGCTCACACTCAAAGTTCAGAATGTTTCTGTGAACAAACAGATAGAGTAGATAGACTAGGTCCTGGTCCATTCTCAACAATACTGTTGGTCATAAAGTATATGGAAAACAGTATGTAACAATATGTACAAACACATCCTGTTCTTAAACGTGAAAGGAAGGGCCTCCTTTGAGCATTAGCGATACTACTTCTTTGGAGGTAAGACACACAGATACATAAAATAGCTGAAATTGAGACATTATTTCCTAACTACACACATAATTCTCATTATAGATGCATATTTATATGATATATCAGACAAACCCTGGTATTAAAAGATTTGATGGTCTAGTCTGCTGGCTCCAGCCAAAGCAGAAGATATTTGGCCTCTTATGATCTTTCATCAAGTCTGTCTATGAATCCCGTCACCAGTACACAGCCCCTGGTAGGCCTATGGGGAGGAGGCCCACATGCACATCTGTAAACTCTCATCGTAGAGTGAAAGAATTTAACGTCTGATTCAGGTTTATAAAAAGCATATTGTGCTTTTTGTGCTCGTTATGTTGACAGCATTCAAATATAACCCAAACGAAGACCAGGAATTAAAACGTGAAATCTGATTCAAATGTGGGATAAGACAGACATGCTTATGCTAATGTTAACTTTGTGGGAACCTTTTGTGGGGAGAGTGACATCCTTATGACATTGCATTTAAAAACGAATATTATGTGGATTGGTTTGATATAATATATACACTCAGTATAAAAAACATTAAGAACACCTTCCTAATATTGAGTTGCACTCCCCCCTTTTGCCCTCAGAACAGCCTCAGTTCGTCGGGGCATGGACTCTACAAGGTGTCAAAAGCGTTTCACAGGGTTGCTGGCCCATGTTGACTCAAATGATTCCCACAGTTATGTAAAGTTGGCTGGATGTCCTTTGGGTGGTGGACCATTCTTGATACACATGGGAAACTGTTGAGCGAGAAAACCCCAGCAGCGTTGCAGTTCTTGACACAAAACGATGTGCTTGGCACCTACTACCATACCCTGTTCAAAGGCACTTACATTTTTTGTCTTGGCCATTCACCCTCAGAATGGCACACATACACAATCCATGTCTCAAGGCTTAAAAATCCTTCTTTAACCTGTCTCCTCCCCTTCATCTACACTGATTGAAGTGGATTTAACAAGTGACATCAATAAGGGATCATAGCTTTCACCTGGATAGTCCCGTGTAGCTCAGTTGGTAGAGCATGGCGCTTGCAACGCCAGGGTTGTGGGTTCGATTCCCACGGGCAACCAGTATGAAAATGTATGCACTCACTAACTGTAAGTCGCCCTGGATAAGAGCGTCTGCTAAAAAATGTAAAAAATATATCAAATGGATTCACCTGGTCAGTCTATGTCATGGAAAGAGCAGGTGTTCTTAATGTTTTGTATACTCAGTGTACAGTATCTGTGTGATTTTCCTGCATGTATATTATCCCTTGTTGTTATAAATCAAACCAAGTTGGAGTTATGTTAGGCATATATCTAAGGTCCTATGTCTTTCTCAAACCTGCTTATTTGGCAAGTAGGTAAATTAGATCCCAAATAGAGCACAGTGGTAGAACAATAGAGGGAGTGGAATACCATCTGGACTTCAAGCACCTAAAAGCATTTTCTTTTGGGTGTAGATCATCTTTAATATTGTAGATAGATTGTAGCTTCCATCAATGTAATTGTCTGCATCATTTCCAATCCCCAATATATTTGTTTAAATAAATATATTTATATATATTTGTAAAATATATTTTCCTTAATTATTTTCCCCTAACCCTACCACCCCTCCCCTAATTGGAGTAAACTAATGGGCAACAACACTTAGGCTTCTACTTCCAGCTTATACATACTATATACATTTTACAATAGTTATCTTTTGTTTGTTTTTAATCCCATCCTTCAGCTACCCTTACCCCCTCCCATCTATCTCTGGAGGGTGGTGTCTCATGTGTTTGTCGGCCTCTCAGCTCTGTCTTCAATGTAATTGATACCACAATAAACCCAATTTCAGACGGAGACTCCATGCCAGAGGTCCCCTCTGGTGGCGCTTGGCTACCCTGCCTGGTGCCTGTGGACAGGGGAGAGAAGAGGCTTGCTCCAGTCTCCAGAACATCTGTGTTTGTGGAGCCATGACATGCTCTCATCCCTCTGCCAGATATCTGCCTCACATTAATGCTTCCAAGGGCTCTCAAAGGAGAGTGGTGTGATGAATAAGAGGAGCCTGAGTATGACCAGACCAGACTGCTATCACACTCTATTTCATTCAGATAAAGGCTGTGATTTGAGAATAAAAACAATAGAACAGCAGAGCCTGATACTTGGCTGCCCCTATATTCCCTCCCTTATCATCTCATCTGAAAACCATACTTTTCTGTAAGTCCTGAATACTGGAGTCGATCTGGCTGAGAGGACAGATGTGCACTGTTAGGTTAATCTTGACTAAAGTGTTTCTGAACTCTCTTTCTCTCGCTCTCGCTCTCTCTCTCTCTCTCTCTGGGGCGGGCGGGCGGGCGTGCGGGCGGGATGGGCTGGCGGGCGGGCGGGCGGGCGGCGGGCCGGCGGGCGGGATGGCGGGCGGGCGCGGGCGGGCTGGCGGGCGGGCGGCGGCGGGCGGGCGGGCGGCGCGAGGCGAGCGAGCAGCGAGCGAGCGAGCGCGCGAGGGCGAGCGAGCGAGCGCGAGCGAGCGACGATGCGAGACGATCGAGCTAGCTAGCGAAGAGGGAGCGAGCGAGCGAGAGAGCGAGCGAGCAGCGAACGAGCGATCTATCTATTATATAGCTATCTATATATCGATCTATGCTATAGCTATAATCTATATATCTAGTACTATCATCTATCTATCTATCTATCTATTATCTATCTATATATTATCTATCGACTATCTAGCTATATCTACCATCTATTATCTATCCATCTATCTCTACAGGTACTGGGCTCATTTGGATGGATGATGTGGCCTGTGTTGGGAATGAGGACACCATTCACCAGTGCAAGTTCTCAGGCTGGGGTAAGACAAACTGTGGGCACGTGGAGGATGCGGGGGTGACATGCAACACCTAACACCCACCATTTTAACCCCCACCGAGTTCAGTTAGAAACTGCTGAGATGAATTGCAGTTGACAGGCAGCGTGAGGTAGAGCAGAAGGGCTGTGTCCTGCTGTCCTTTACCCACCGACCGCTGTGGGCAGCTGATTTGACAGTTATGTGCAAACATGCTTTGATTCAGACCCCTTAGGGCCTCTTTGATGGCTATTGTCCATGTAAAGTAGGTTTATCAATAGCTGATACTTCTTAGCTGAACTAGATTCAGTGCCAAAAATGGACCAACTTAAATAATGGTCAGTCACAGATGTTTGTCAAATGTTTTGATAGATAAAGTGATTACAAAGAACAGAAAGGGGAACAAATGCCATTTTAAATGGATGTATGACTTGGCCCTAGAACGATTTATTGGTTTGTGTCTGACAATTTTACTATTTCTGCCTGTGGAGCCAAGCATTGGTTTTTATCATCATGAATGAGAGCCTCTCTCTCTCTCTCTCTCTCTCTCTATCTCTCTCTCTCTCTATCACTCTCGTTTTTTGCTTCTCCCTTCAACTGGCTTTATTTTATTTTTTTTACGTTAGAGCGTAGCCAAAAATGCCACCCTCTTCATCGATAATTGCAGGGGCGGTTTAAAGATTGACGCTTGGTTTATGTATGGAAACCATGACTCTAACGATGAGTAAGACTAATTACAGCCTAAGAGGGCTAGTTACAGTTTGGGGAAAATAAAGTGAAATGGTCAAACATGGACAATGAATTGAGGTTTCTCACAGGAAATGAAACAGGGGAATATGTATTATTGTGTGAAATAAACAAAACCAACCCCTGATGTAAGATACTTTCACATGTAAATCACGTGTTGACATGATATGATGTCTGTAAGAAAAATATTTCTGTAGATGATCCCTTGCCAAATATTGATTTGTGATAAGCAATACAATGTGCTGAGGTCCTGAGGGCTAGGTTTGATCCACTCTCAGACACATGAATCTGGACTATCTCAGTATTTCAGCTGGAGCATTGTAGCAGCTCCCCTCAGAAATGGTCCTCAACTTTATCCACTGAGGTTCATGCTCAGACAAGTGCTATAGAGGTGTTGCAATGCACTCGTTTTCTAAGCCAACAGCCAAGGATAACACCTTACAATCTCTATATATATTCACTCAGATTGATCATGCTTCCATCTTGGGAAAGGTCCTTCAACAGAAAAGAAAGGAGAAAAAATATTTTCTACTAAAAATATTTTCATACTAAACATTTATTCTGGTTTTGTAGAAATAGATATTCCTACAGTATGTGATCATCGCTATTATAATCCTGTCTCAAATATTCAACCAGGGTGCAGTTAGTCTGTGAACATAACAGAGGTTTTTCTTGCATGGATCTTCAACTGTGCTGGAAATGAATCACTGTCATGCAATGCTGTTTCACATACATTTAAGGGAGCAGACTGCACACATTTGCTTTGTATAATAGGGACCACAAACCCAGGTTCCCACTTTTGTAATTGTTCATATACCGTGGAAATAATAAAATATACATTTGTTTATACATGTGGACTTGATTATTTTCTGATTAAGATGAAAATGGTTCAGGTAGTTCAGTAGAAAGCTAAGTAATCCTAGCCCATACTCTAGATACATCAAGAGAACAGGTGACGAGGGACAGAGGTTGGGTATGGCATCTCTGGATTGACAACTGAGAAGCAATTACCTTAAAAGTGGTTCCACATGAAGGACGAATATAGAAATGATTGCTGGAGAATCACCTGATCACCTCAGCATATGGTGAGCCTAGGGAGAACAAAGACCCTGAATCACGGCTGAGGGAAAGATGCTTCTAATCAACATGTTTGAACTTTTATTGGAGGAAACATTTCTTTGGAAGGTAATAGAACATATTTAATTTTGTCATGTGAAATGTTTGGGTTAATCCGCTTCATACACTCCCATTGTGAAAAGTCCTTAGCATCTGGAACTGTCTCAAATTATTTTCTACCCTCAGTTTTATGTCAAACGCAGAAAAACAAGGTATGACAGAGGACAATATTTATGAAGCTATAATTCAGGGGAATTTACAGATGGACACAGGAACCGTTGGACTCCATTATCCTCTATAGTTCCCAGAGGGCCTCTCTCTGGCATCAACATCCATGACTGTCACATTGAGTCAGCTCTGTAAGAGGGTTTGAAATAACAATCAGTGCAACCATTTATAGAGATTTTGTGCAAGGGGTAGTGGGCTCAATAACTATACCTCTTCAGTCCATTTATAGAAAGAAACGACATTGTTCAGAGCAGTTTAGGGTCACGTCACAGAACACAGAGAGAGAAAGAGCAGTTCCAGCAATCAGCACTGCTAGAAGTGTAAGATTCCCCAGAGCCCTCCAGAACGCCCCCATGTGCCCATGTGTATTCTGTACAGGATAAGTTGTATAAGAAAGAGTCCTCCCTTGAGATTTGACAGAGGCCGTTTACTATTGTAAACTAGAGAGAGTTATCGGTGGCCTTTGGCCTGGATTTCCTGAACAATGTTCCGTCTCCTGTGTCTGGGAGGATAAATGATTGAATGTTCAGCTGAAGATGCAGCTGAGAGCTGTGTTGGAACACACATTCTGTCAACATGTCCATATAGCTAAAGAATTGATTAACATATGTACACTGGATATTATCCAAAATACTGTAAAGCTAAACAATAAGCCATAAATGGTCAAAATGCAGTTGATTATTCAAGTAAATCAATGGACAAATAAACCATGTCCACAGAACGACGTTTGACATTGAAAACATGCATGAAATGATTAAATTGTGGATTTCCCCAAATCTACCCAATTTGTGCAAAGCCAGGGACAGCTCCTTCTCCCCATCCAGAGCCCATGCTGAGGTCTGACCAAGGAACACACTCTACTCTTCTATAAAAACAACCACAACATGTAGCAAGCCCACAAAAATTAGCTAATTTCCCTCTGAGGTTTATTTGAACATTTGTTTTCTAACCAGACACTGTCTTCTTCATATTAAACTATGTTTCTACAATATAGCACTGAAGGAAAGAGAGGAAACTACTAGGTATTGGGTATTGAAATCATTTTTACTAGGGATTAAACAGCATGCAGTGCCACCTGGAAGTGCAAAATGGCTTGGGCATGGTTCGCAAATTGCTATGGTGATGTGGTGTAGCAATGCACATGTGGAGAAATGGGGCGAGAGACAATCAATGTGCCCCAACTGTGCTTGGGATGATTTCGGACACACATGCAGCAGACATCTGCTCAAATGTGGCTGGATAAATAACAAATGAAACACAGAATTTGTCCCTGGATCTGCAGAAAATCTGAAAGTATGGATATCTGTTCCACTACTGGACCCCAAAGATACAAATGTAAGAAAAACTCAATATTAGGAAGTTGTTCTTACTGTTTTGTACACTCAGTATAGACGTGTCCACAGTCCACATACAACTTTCCTCTATATTTAGCTCCTAAGTCTGCCCACTGCTGTGGTAATCAATATATTTTACATGACAAATATTTTCTACAAGCATAAACAGTTTTAAAATCAAACCAGAAACACCATTAGCTACATCAGTACTTTATATTATACACAAAACAATGTGTTAATGCCCCTGACCTGTATTTCAGATAGTTGGTAGGCTACATATTTTTAAAACGCTTTTTCCTGTCATTTTGGCAGATTTCCAGTTTGTCCTTCTAGGGCGCCTGTATTTGACGTACGAAAACAATTTTGGGTTTTTAAAAACTGGGCGCGTTTTCTACTGCATACAAGACAGAACTATTGGTAAGAACAATCACTGAATTTATTCATAAACCTTTATCACATTATGCTGTAGTTACGTGAAAATATCATAATAGCACTTGAGTAAGTTAGGTCGTTGATCGCTAACTTTTGGTCCTTGCGATAGATTACTGACTGTTGTTGAAGTTAGCCTAGCTAGCCAGTTTTGCTAGCGTTGAGGTACTTTGACTCAGTCTTATGTGTTCACAGATCGAGGAAAGAATGGACTCTTCTTTTGCCAGTGATGTGAATGCATTTAAGACGCCCTGCAAACCAGACAAGATGAAAAGCCTTCTCTCTGATGGCGCACCCAGTCCTAGAACCCCCATAACCATCCCTGCCTCCCCTTTCATGAAGAAACTGGGATGTGGAACTGGGGTGAATGTTTATCTCATGAACAGGTTTGTTTTGTGTTATGACCTTTATGCAATTGATCCTTAATCCTAGCTAGCTATAGACATATTTCCATATGTCAAATACACATTGGTGTATCTTTCCTATACATCTCTTTACAGTATATTCTGTCATTTAGCTTCTCAATATCACCTATGGTGTTGGTATGTCATGAGTCATGTTCCTATGTGCTCTTTTCCAGAGTTGGTAAATTGAACCAGTCTCCTTGGGCTGTTAAAAAGATCAACAGCAAATGTGCCTCAAAGCAAGTGGGTGTATACCAGAGACGACTCTGTGACGAGGCAAAGATCCTGAAAGGCCTGGACCACCCAAACGTTGTTGGATTCCGTGCCTTCACCACTGCCAAGGATGGCTCCAAGTGCCTGGCCATGGAGTATGGTGGGGAGCAGTCCCTGAACGATCTGATAGAGAGGAGGAGAGAGGAGGGCCTGAAGGCTTTTCCAGCCACCACCATTAACAAAGTGGCCTTACATGTGGCGCGTGGCCTACAGGTAACATCCTACTCATCTGTTGAACCCAGTTTTCACCTGGTATTGATCTGGAATGGGTTACAATGGGAGGAATGGAGATATTGCTTGTAACATAAAGCTGTAATACCAGGAGTACTGTAGTGTAGACTGGATGTGATGTCATCCAGCTCATCGATATGGATGGGATTTATTCTCATGATTTGGGGCAGAGAGGTCATGTAAGCAAATATAATTCAAGATTGCTATTATACATTTTCCCCACTCAATCATCCTCTGATGTGAATAAGGGGTATTTGAGTTTCTCCTCCATTGGTGTCATTACATGAACTATTTCAGGTTTAGGATTTCAAATGTTCTGTAATCCCCTGAGGGGGTGTTGCTCTATGCTGCAGTTTTTAAACAGCATCATTGCTGAGTGTAGAGATCTTTGATTCATGGCCTAGTTATGACCAAATCAACTGAAAAAACACCATGAAAAAAGCCCCTCTTCAATGGAAATTATTTTCCTGTTTTCTCTTTCACTCTCATTGTTCCCAGATGCTTAATGTTATTCCATCTTTCAATGTGAATCAAACACATATGACTGTGTACAATTGTTACAGAAAATATATGAAGGAAATGCTGAAATGTATATTTGTTTCACCTCCAGTACCTTCACAACGAGAAGAAGCTACTACATGGCGACATGAAGTCTTGCAATGTTGTCATCAAGGGCAACTTTGAGACTGTCAAAATCTGTGATGTGGGAGTCTCCTTGCAGTTGGATGAGAATATGAAAGGTAGATATCACCATCTGAGCTGAATCCATGCACTCAAACACTGGTCAAATAGGCAGAACTTGGTGTTTTTTCTCCATCTATTGCTGTTGTTAGACAACCTGTCTTTGTCTCTGTTTAGAAAGTGTGAACCTGAGAAATTAGCTGGATGTAAACACTGATTAGGACCTGAACAAAATGCATTCCTAGCCCTCTTTAGTTTTGGTCTTTGGGTGTAATGCCAAACATCTGTTGTTCCTGCAACATAGCCTGTTAATTACATTTTTGTCATTTAGCAGACGCTCTTATCCAGAGCGACTTACATGAGCAATTAGGGTTAAGTGCCTTGCTCAAGGGCACATCGACAGATTTTTCACCTAGTCGGCTCGGGGATTAGAACCAGCGACCTTTCGGTTACTGGCACAACGCTCTTAACCACTAAGCTACCTGCCGCCTATTTCTGAAATACAAGAATATATAGACTTGTATTGTCCTGCCTTGTTCTTTGAGAGGTTCTATGACCTCATGAAGAAAATCTGATTGATGATTTTCACAATGTTGTGCGCGCTCATGTCATGAGCCTAATGGAACACATGCCCAGGGGTTACATCATGCTCATGCTTTCTCAGAAACACAGCCTTTGAATTCATAGTAGTGATGTTGTAGGGAGGGGTATAGAGTAACAGACAATGTGCAGGTGGTTTGCTTATGTAAACAATGGATTTTCTTCATGAGGTCATAGAACCTCTCAAAGAACAAGGCATGACAATACAAGTCTATATATTCTTGTATTTCAGAAATAGGCTGTAGACCTATACATATGTGAACACACAATAGTGAATAATTCGAAGTGTCAAGTGAAATGCAATAAGTGTTGTTAACCTCAAACCAAATACAGAAGAGCTTTGTGTTTGACACACATCGATACTTGTATTTAGAGTAAAATTGCTAATAGTTTCAATCCTATCATGGTAACTTTAATGCGGTTTGCTTGTGAATGTTTTGAGCAATGTGTGTGTGATTTAATTACAGTTATAGAGACATTAACATTGGCAGGAACATAAAATGTATTTTATAATTGGGCTCTTAAGCAAATAAATTCCTCATCTTTATTCTTCCAACGTGTTTATCTTACACATATGTTCCCAACTTTCGGAAATTTAAATTCTATTTTTGGATTAGCTGAGAACCACCAATACTCACAAACTGTTGGTCAAATGTAACAATGCCCAGTAAGCCTAAAAACCAAGGTTTTAATCACTGTATAAAGTGTTCAAACCTCTTCAGCGAGTAACCCCAAAGCAGAGTATGTTGGCACTGAGCCGTGGAAGCCCAAGGAGGCTCTGGAGGAGGGAGGAGTGATCACAGACAAGGCAGATATATTTGCCTACGGACTGACCCTGTGGGAGATGATGACTCTGGCCATGCCTCACCTGGAGATGCTGGACAGCGAGGAGGAGGGTAAGGAGAGTTCTGTATGAGAGTCTAGAACTCTTTTTAAAAGGCAATTTCCCTTGTTTTGGATTTATGTAAGACTTCTGTCCCATACAAGATAACTTGCTCAGTAATAGTTTTTAAATCATTGTATAATTCTCAGATGATTCAATGGATGAGGACGACTTTGATGAGGATGCCTACTATGAGAAGTTGGGCACCCGACCGGCGCTGGACTCTGACAGTCTTGGGGAAGCCTACCAGAGAATGGTGGAGCTCTTCTGGCTCTGCACGGAGGAGAACCCACAGAAACGCCCCTCTGCTGCCCAAATAGTTCAGGTTCTGGAGTCCAACATGCAGGCGGACAAAAATAGTGAGGTCATTGTCATAGACTGACCAGTTTCATCTCAAGCCATACTGTAATGTTGACTGGACCTGTGTCCAGAAACCTTTCCTTTCCTGTTTGTCTTGACTTATGTAATATCCTTGTATTATTCTGTCCTGTACTCTTCTCTAGGCCTGTACCCCTTTGTCAGGTGAAATGTTGTAATTAAAATGATGTGTATTTCAGTATACTGCTATGAAACAAATAATTCAAAGGAGCAGCTTTTTCCTCCGGTTGTTTAAACTAGAATTGATTAATACTTGAGCATTTTAGTCATGTCCTGTGTATTGATGTGGGTATACATTGTTTATACTGCACAATCTGAAACGGAATGTGTGATGTCAAAATAGATTAATTCTATGCTGGACAATTCAGGCTGTAATTTTGGGATATTTCCCAATGCATCATGAATGTAGATCATGCTATTAAACAGTGACACACATCTAACTGTTGGTTGTATCGCTGACAAACTACTCTCCCCACAATATACCCATTTCACTAGAAGATTCCATAATTCAGTGTAGATGGAGCATGATGTATTTTGTCAAGAAGTTGGGCTTCTGAAGTGTGATGAGTAAAATTTTTATTCAAACTATATACAAGCTGTAGAAGAGAACATATACTTCTGAGTTCAACACTAATGGAATTTGACTGCAACAGCCATAACTTGCATGTTCAACAAACCTTCAAGAGTACCTTTATCTCTCTGATTTAAATTAAACTTCTCAAAAAGGGGCAAACATTGATCAAAAATAATCTTCTCACAGCATAAAAACACAATTGTGTCCAAACTTGTCCTTTAAGTTAACCAATGAAATTGTAGACCATAAACGCAGGCTTCTCGCAGTACTTTGTGGCGAACAGTTTGCCGTCTGGGGTAGGGTCGGAGAAGGCTATTTCCTCCTTGGTCAGGTGACCCCCATACATGAAGGAGTTTCTGAAAAGGACAGAAATACATTCAGATTAAAAAAATGGCCATATATTCAAAGATATTACTTTTGCTGATCAGGAACCTGACATCTTCCATTTAGCTATATATCACTGAAATTAGCCCTCAAACCAGTATACCCATTTTGCTGATTTTCATTGTTCTCCTCACGTCTCGGTTTAACAAATCAAAAGTATGTTTGCACTACCTAACCTGTAATAATTCCCTAACCTGACTGTGTCGAGCATGCGTGTGGCAATGCCCTTCCTCCGGGCCAGGCTGAACACCCAGATGCGGCTGACCCCACAGATTGCCTTCTCTGGGGTGGTAGAGCAGCACCAGGCCCTGTGGTGCTCCATGAAGTCCCCCCTGGTCATGTCCTTTGTCTGCTCTGGCTGCTCCAGTACTCTGAAGCCCTGGAAACAAAGGACAGGATAGACCAATCACTCATCAGTCACTCTGCTAAATACCCCTGTAAGATAGCAATTCACTCACCAACTACACCTAGTTTGATAGTGAGAATATTCACTCAGTGTTTACAAAGATCTGACCTTTTTACCCCTCAAGAAGGAGACCAGTGGTAGTTCCCTGTCGTACACGCTCTGCAATGAGGCAGCCGATGACCATCCCTTCACAGGCCACAGAAATGACCATGCGCAAAAGCTCACGTCTGATTCATCAAAGTTTCATATTTGACTCTGAGCATATATATTTTTCATTTCTTGATCAACCAGACTTCATCTTTCGCGTGCACGCCACCATAAATTAACATTATCACAGGCCTTTACATCAGCATATTGGGGTAAAAGACTCCTGATCCATTCCTGAAAAACTCACCATTTGTTTGGAGCGTGACACATCGGAGCAGAGCGCGAAAGTTTAGCAGCACAGGAGAAGAGAGTAGTTACCTGTCGTATGTGCTCGGCAATGAGGCAGCCAACCACCATCCTATCACTGTTCACATACAGGTAGGTTTTAGCCTGGCTGGGGCAGCTGAGGGACACTTGTTGGAAGCCCAACTCGTTGTCAGCAAGTCGCCTCACATCTTCTGCCTGATAAAACATCATAATTAAGCATGAGCAAGTGCGTTCACAATTCCATTCACACCAAATGCATAAACACACACCCTATGGGCCTAGATGAAAAGTAGTGCACTATGAAGGGAATAGGGTGCCATTTCAGACGCAGGCACTGATATGATTGATATAAACCTTTTTGACAGCGTATTTTGGATCATCAGGTAGAACCAGAATGATTTTTCCATCCCAGAACTCTGCTACCACCCGCTCTTTCTTCCAGCCCTGGGGATGAGAAGAAAACATTGATTAAGCAACCGTCGGAAATCAAGAGGGAGAGTGGTCAGTCACACTTTTTTCGCTAAACCACGTCAGCGGTTTTGGCAAAGCTTTGTGGAAAAAATAATGAGCCACTCTAAAAGCAACATAATTAGAGCAACTTGTACACATCGGTGAGGGGGAGGAAACGCCTGGGCGTACGTACCACAAACTTAATGCTGTCCAGAAAGCGCTGGTGGAACTGTGTGTGCTGGAAATTGTCTTCCAGGCTGTCTGCGCTGTAGATCATGCCACAGGACCCACACACGGTGGCACCAAACTGCTTCTGGCCAGCATCCTGAGGTAAACACAGAACAGAGCTAAGAGCATTAGCAAAGCTCACAGATGACAGGGTGAGAGAGATAGCCAACGGTCATCATCAACGTTTCCATTCAGCATCAACGTTTCCATCAGAGGATTTACTTACAATGATGAGTTGATCATCAGCCTCAGCCTGTTTGTTAGTCTCCCTCTTCTTCCTGGCACTCCTCTCCTTGGCAGCAGAGGGAAGGGGGTGACCAAGGGCAGAGGGGGTGCTGCAGTTCACTGGAGAGGCCAGATCTGCCTTCCTCTGGGGCCTAAAGGCAGACCGGAGACATGAAGTGATAAATGCATATACACATAGATACACACCTGTATACAGTGTGTGGAGTTACTACTATTTGTCCATGTGCAAGACTGAAAATAATACCATCCCTGGAGGGCAGTGAACCATTCTAGCTAAAAATAAATGGAACTGTTTTTGCCTACCTCTTTGATGCAGATCCAAAGATCGGATACACAGCTGAGGATTCTACAGTATCGGCTGAGGATTCTATAAAAGGGGAGAGAGAAACCATTAATGAAAATGAAGACATTTTAAGTAAAAACATTAATTGACCAACGATAAACAACCAACCTTTGACTGGACTGCTGATGCCTTTTAATGGGCTAATATCACCGAGATCAAACACTGCATCAGAGCCTGCATCTGTGATAAAGTCCTCCTACGAACAGAGAAAGAACAATATCCTAAATGTAGTATGGATACACGATGCTTACAGACAGTGAGATTTAGGCTAAACACTATTCCACAGTGATATACAGCTCACCTGAGTGTTTCTTTCTGGGGATGCTGGACGTGTGGGAGACGGAGATCTGTTTAACACAATCCTGACTTCCTTGGTCATGCCGTATTTCTCTGCTATAGCTCTGGGTGACAGGGCCTCGGGTGACTCTGGACTCTTTGGCACATCCTGGACACAGGGTGGAGAATCTGGCTCTTCCTGCAGTTTGTTCACTACAACAGCACATCGCTGTGGAGAGGGGGCTTTTTGCACTTTTTCTTGCTTTCCCTCTGACGCAGGAACCATGGCCTTTGTTTTCTCAAAACTCAAAGCTGGCTTGGTAGATTTCGGGGCAGACTTTTTGTACATTGAGGTGTTTTTTTTTCCTGTGATGAAAAAGGCAGCCCCAATGAAGATTTTAGGCTTAGGCTTTAAACCGCCGAAGGTCAAGGTGATGCCTTTTTTCAGCTCCACTTGCTCTGTGCTGGTGGGTGCTCTAGGCTTTGAGGAATTGATCAGGCTTGATTTGGAGTTGGTGTTTCCCTTTATGCCAGTCTTCATTCCGTGTACAGTGGCCACCTTTTTGGCCTTGGTACTTTTAATTTTCTTCCTCTTCTTTTCAGCAGCGGTTGGCATTCCATAAGGATCCACAGTGGTCAGCCTTGGAGGTGATTTGGTCTCATTCAGCATCTTCCTCTCCAGGGGTGTCAGATACAAAGGTTTGCGTTTACCATAGAAGGACGCTGTTACCACAGCAGGCTCGAATGGAGAGCCTCTCTTCAGAGCAATCTTTAGGGGAGATGGCGCTGGGGATCTCTGCGGAGATGGGCAGTTCTCTTTCTCCTGGTGTTTGACCGACATCTTTAGTGGAGACTGGGGCAACCGAGGTGACATTCTTTTGTGACTTCCATCTGTAACAGGCCTTTTGGCTGAGTTACTAAAAAATGTTGGAGAATAATAAGGATGTTAGGCCCTACTCAATGTTATATGCATGATTGATTAGTAACTGATTTAACACATGACTTACTAATACACATCTTGTCACTCACCTGTCAGAATCAATTGAAGAGTGCTTCCTCTTCCTTGTAGTATTGGGCATCATGTTTTTAACTTCACTGAAAGAATAAGTAGAAGTATTAACGTTAGCTAGCTAGTGACCCGCATTGGAGAATCAACAGGTAGCTACAGTAGCTAGTTAGCTAAATTAACCATGCATAAATCAGTTAGCTAGCATATCTAGCTACAATAATAGATCATTGCAATGTAAACGTAATGGCAATATTTAAACATTAAAAGGTTAATATCTTGAAAATAAATACTGTATTATGTTAAGACAGAGCAGTCTTTGTTTGCCAGCTGGCTAGTTCAGTGGCTGAGTGAATAATTATTGGCGGGATGAATCTGACACAAATACACTAACTACACTGTGGCAGACAAAGCTAACGAAACGTTTGTGGGAATGTCCTTTGTGTGATAAAACTTGCCAGCAACTTTTCACTAAAAAGTTGCTAATATAAACTAATTTTAGCTAAGCTGTTACTGTTGTGGTTGAAATTATTATTGGCTTGTTAGTTAACTAACGTTACTTTAGCTTGCAGCGTTTTGGTGCAAACAAACAACTGACAGGCAAAACAAAACGTAAAATGCCATCTAAACAGTTAGCTACTTAACTTTTATCAAAAAAATTGTTCTTCACAAATACATACCAAATCCGAAGTTATCCACTATGTAGCAAAGTTGTGGAACTGTGGCTTGTTTTCCCCGCGGTTCTTGTGCAGACTGTTTTTGAACAGCGCGCCCAATGACTAAATGAGCGCGTCTCAAAAAAATGTTGAGCAACATGACCTAAGCGGAAACAGTTGGTTTGTGACCACCGACGACTTCCGGGTCAACTTTCCATGCGAAATTGACTGTCAGCACAATTATCATCTCGTTATGAACCACATTTAGTTAATTGGCAAGTGTGTGAAGTACTCCATTCATATTTTGTTTCTAAGGTTTAAAACAGTTGCTTCGATTCATGCAAGATGGTGTTTTACTTCACGAGTGCCGGTGAGTAACTGAGCTTGTCTTTAGCTGGCTATCCCGCCCATAGTTAGCTGAACCAGCTAGCCTAGAGAATATTATTGAATCATTTTGTTAGCTAGCTACGTTTGATTTCTAGCTAGAAAGCTTTCTTGACACATAACCATGAGTTGTCAGTCATCATGGATGTTTGTTGACATATTCAGCCAGCAGATGAAGCTAGTCAGCTAACGTTAGCTTAGCTAGCAAGGCATTTAATTAGGAATAATAATCATGTGGAGTGGCGGATGGCAGAGTAATTGTCCTATTCTGAGAATGGATAGTTATGTTATCCAGACCCTACTGTGTAGCTAGGCAAATGATCATATTATTCGTGTTTAATTAGCCACATAGCCTTGTTGATATAGCTAACTATAACTATTAACCTTTGCTTTGTTTTTAATTTTACAGTTGTTACACCTCCCTACAGTATCTACATGGGGAAAGACAAATATGAAAGTAGGTGGCTGGTCATTTAAAGTCTTGTTTTCTAACAAACCATGATTCATGTTGTTAGCAGCATTAAAGATGACTACCCAGCTAACTGTCTGCTTATTTCTCACTATTAGATGAAGATCTCATCAAATATGGATGGCCTGAAGACATTTGGTGAGAAACATATCTCTCTATACTTATAACTGAAACCATGAGCCTCTTATTGGGATTTGACCATTGATGAGTCTGAACATTCGTCTGATACATTACTCTGCAGTGTTGAAAAATATCCACAAGGTGGCCCTAGAGCTAGGCTAAGGTACTGTAGTCCTTTATCAGCTAATAGTGCTGTGGTAATATGTATGTCATTGATTCTTTTAGTATGTGTGCCTTATTGCTGTTATAATAATTATGTCCACAGGTTTCATGTGGATAAACTCTCTTCTGCCCATGTGTACCTACGAATGCCTAAGGGACTGACAATAGAGGATATTCCCAAGGAAGTCTTGATTGACTGTGCACAGCTTGTGAAAAACAACAGCATCCAAGGTAATACATTGAGTTTCCCGGTGAGTTTGATATGAATACTAGAGTAGTTAATACAATATCACAAACATCTGCATAAATCTTGGTGATAGCCTTTTAACTCTTAATTACTCTTAACAGGTTGTAAAATGAACAACATCAATGTTGTCTACACACCATGGGCCAACCTAAAGAAAACAGGGGACATGGATGTAGGCCAAATAGGTTTCCATCGACACAAGGAGGTCAGTGATCTCTCTGTTGGCATAATGAATCTGTGTTACTTTCAGATCTGTCTCTTTTATATGTGTCTCATCTTTTGTTGTTAATATGTTCTTCGTTTCTATAGGTTGTTATCAATAAAACATCACAATAAGGTGCAGAGCGTTCAATTTGCCTGCTGGGGGGAAAGGAGACCCCAGCTTCGCTAAAACCATTGACAACTGCATGTAGTTTTCAAGGGATTGTTAACAAATGTTAACTATTTGGTTTTAATATCATCACCTCTTGAAGAGCATAGTCAGAACTACACATTTCCAATTATTCCATGCAAAACAATTCCGCACATGTAGTTCTATCATCTGCGTTATAAAGCAAGTAACTGCATGATTTTCATGATCAGTAAACATCAATTGATCATGTAATTTCAGATACCTGAGGGTAGACTCACGATATCTCTCAATATTGGCCTCCATTAATTGGATAAAAGTGAACTATACCTGATAAGTATGAGTGGTTTAGGAAAATAGGTGGGCTCAACATTGTTTTTAAGAGTGTTTAATCACAATTGCTGCTGACAGACATGATAGGCTACATTGATTGATGGACAACGTCAAATTGGCTAGCTAGCTAATAACAGATCATGTCAATATGGCTAGTTAACAAGCTAACTTTCAGTGGTGATGACAGTAGTCCGACTGACAACTTTACCAGCACAAGGATTTGCCGATGTCAAGCTCTTTCCAAAAGCCCAATCTGATGAAGCAAGCTAAATTACACGTTGTTTGCTTAGCTAGCTAGCTACATGCTAAATAGATAGGTTACCCTCAAATATCTGAAAATACATGATCAATTGATGTTTACTGATCATGAATATCATGAAGTTACTTGCTGTATAACTCTTATAGAGCAAAATGTGGAATAATCTAAATGTGTAGTTCTGACTATGCTCTTCAAGAGGTGATGATATTAAAACCAAATAGTTATAACATTTTATTTAACAATCCCTTGAAAACGGAACGTAGCTGTCAATGGTTTTAGCAGAGCTGGTGTTCTTCTTGCCCCCAGCAGCCAAATCGAACGCTCTGCATCGTATTGTGACGTTTTATTGATGACGACCTATTGGTTTTCTATTTTGGTCATTTAAATGAAAGGATCATTTAAACCTGTTTGTCTACTGTTTTGTAGGTGAAGATCGTGGCAGTAGAGAAGAAGGTCAATGAGATTGTGAACAGGGTGGAGAAAACAAAAGAGGAGCGATACCCTGATCTAGCAGCAGAGAAAGAGTCTCGAGACAGGGAGGAGAGAAACGAGAAGAAGGCCCAGATACAAGATCTGAAAAAGAAAGAGAAAGATGACATAAAAAAGAAAAGAGAGCTGGAAGAGCTCAAGTAAGTTCTCTTATCTCCCTAGCTACATCATCTATCTTCAACTGGCATCCCAAAACACCATGTGAATAGTCATTTATGTGAATGATATGAACTTACACAGTAATTGTTCCTAAACAGAAGTTACTCTTCGCTGATGACGAGTGACAATATGACAACAAATGAGGTGAGTTGATTAACAAATTCCGAACAGTTATAATCTGTTTCTTTCAGAAATAGACTGGCTTGTTAATCAGTTATATGACTGTGTTGTTGGAATAGGACCATTCATTATGTCAGAAATATATAATGGTGTCTTTTTCAGGACGGAAACGATTCGGATGACTTCATGTAAAAGGAGAATATGGGACATCGGTGAGACACCATCACCTGCAAGTAAACATTGTTGGGTTGCACCCGCACTGTTATACCGGACAGTGCTTTGACATTGTGTATATAAATCGATAAACTTGCTACTGTATTTTTGGAACAGTACTCGTGCCAATTATGCACAATTTCAGGACCATAGTGAACAGCTTGGTTACCCTACGCTTCTTGAATTTCAAAGGAAAAATTCAAATATCATTGGTATCTTGTACTTTACATCCTCTGCTTGACTGACAAGAGGGTAACAACAATCCCAGATTCCTCAGACAAGTGCTGTCAAGGATTTAGTCTTGGGACTGCTATGCTCTATGCTCTATGATCTAATTAAGAATTGGTGCATGTTGACCTAATGATTTGAATGCATATATGATCTTCTGACCAGTATGTCTAGCTATGGGTGAAATGAATATGTACTTGACATCTATTATTATTTACCTGGCCGATGGTGCAGGCTTTGTCCTGTCCAGAGACTGGAGCCTAGTAAATGTGTCCTCATGAGGCCATGCAACTGAACGAGTGCTGACGTTAATAAAAATCCCCTTGTTTATCCACGCAAAGTTTAGTTTTTGTTTTAAATTGAACTGCCCAGAAGGTATGGGAATTGCCCAGTTCATTATTTAGAAAATATGTTGACATAGCTTTGCTAATGAAGAGTGAAACGTTTGAATGGTTCGAGTTACTTGTTCCTTTATTAGCAATATGGGTACCATTCTCTCCCCTACCTATTCCAAGTGCTTTTTGTCAGGGTAACGGATCAGGTTTCTCTTTCCTGGGTCATGATCAGAGCTGGGATTGAACATGCTGGATTTTCAGTATAAAGCGTGACATCTCTTAATTACTCAATGCTGTGTATGGATGAATGGAAAGCAGCTGTGGCTGACCTCAGGTCCACATCACACAGACTGAAATGCGTGGAGCAGGTTAAGGCATGAAGAGCGCATAAAAATGAATTATTCTCCAATTTCACTCGAAACAACTGCGAAAAGCAGAAGAAAATGCCTTTGATTCAATCTGCATGTGATTTGATTCCCACTACATGGTTAAGACTGGGTTATTCTCAGTGACAGGATGTCACATGTAACTACAGGACCCTGTCTGTGTTTATCAACTAACTGTTGAATATGCATATTTGTCACATGCAAGTATGATTTCAAGCTGGCTGGAACATTGTGTACACCAATACATTTTTTATGAAAGTTGTTTCATGGTTGAGGCGTTTTGATTTTTTCAGGACATGAACTGTTGAACAAGGGCATGATATTGAAGTTATAGCTGACCTGACAGTTGGTTGTGTGTTTTAAACGGCTCTTATCACAAAAGGCATACATGGGGAATCTGTCATGTTTCAGTGCTGGTTAGAAGTAGCCTACATTGTATCTTTCTACTGCCACAATACTGCTTGTGTGGTACCAACTTGAGCTGTTTTACTGTAAAAGTAGCCAAAGCACTATACTCTACAATATTGTGGCAGTTCAGTTGTTCCTTTGCAAGGGAGTCATTAAGAGTTCAGCCAGAATGACATATTCTGGTCTCGTTTTATTAGTTCTGTTGTATGAGTCAGTTCCAGAAATGAGAAGATGTCCCAGTTCTTTCTGTAATGAGATTTACAGCTATGAGTGCAGAGTCAAGAAAACTCACATTACACCCATTGTAACAACATGTACTTTGTACTAAGTCTGAAAACGAATATTTACTGTTGCTTTATTTCACATTTTGAGATTCCATTTTCTTTAGGACCACTAGATGGCAGATTCTTGCTTTTTTTCCCCAGAGGTGCACGTTTACTAAATATCACACTAGAGTTGGTCACTCTGACATGGTAAATGGTATAATTTGTTATTCACTGATTGATTTGATCAATAATCAATCTTGATGTCGACTACAGATTTGTGTTGTTGAAGTGCCTCTTCAATATTATCTCACAGAGACAACGCTATAGGTCTATGTTTTCCTCAGACTGCAAGTCAGCGTCTCTATTTTTAGAGCTTTGTCTTGTTTTTTCATAAATTAGTAGGTTGTGTAAATTGGGATGGGAAGATGAAAGCAAATTAGTGTCTGTTTTTATGTTGTTTGTGACTGACAAAACCAGGAATTTGGCGGCTAATTAGCTGGTGTCTGGAGTCTGTCTTGTGGAAAATAAAACCTTTTTGGTGGGGCGAATGTAATTTGCAGGGGGAGGCAACAGTTAGCCAAATCACACAAAATAATAGTTTGGCAGTGACATTCTGAAAGTAAAGCACTAACTCAGGACAAAAAAGGACAGACCTCTACCAGGGATCATTTCCAGCTCTGTCACAATAGTTGAATTTCATATTTACGAGCGAATATCCTGCCAAAAGCCCTATGTTTCCCATAACTTTGACTCAGTGCTTAGAACTTTTTTCCTAAACTGAATTGTTTCTTCAGGACCCTGAAGGTAGCCCTGCTAAATCCCTTACAAAGCTTTTAGAGCTCTGAATGTACTGTTTCTCCCACAGTAGGTTGAAGACGGTACATTTCAGAAGAGCTAGCCTACACAATATAGAGATGGCAAACACTGTAATGGAAGCCTGAGAAAGGAGTTATTCTGCAGAGGAGGGCGTCAGCCATACTGGCAGGACATACGGTCAGGGTGGAAAGAATGACCTCTTAATGCTGCCACCTCTGATGGTCTTCTTCTCTCCATGTGGAGAAGGCAGGTTTTTGTGTTTATTGGAAATATGCAGTCATCCCCTCCAGGAGCCCATGACATGACCCTGCCAGAGCTTCAGCTTCATCCCAGCCCAATTCTCACAGAACCCAAGCACAGTGCAGCAGTGTGGTGGAGAGTGGAAACCTGGCTTTGCTAATAATGACTAGAGAGTGCGTGGGAGCAAATTGTTGTTCATTTGCTTCGCTGCAGTACACTATTGAGCCAGATGCTTATGTGCTTTACATTTATGGCTGAGATTTAGGGCTGGTGGTTTCCCGGACCCAGATTAACCCTGTTCCTGGACAGAAAAAGCATTTTCAATGGGGATTCTCTTATTCTGGGTCCAGGAAACCTGCCCATACAGGGCGGCAGGTAGCCTAGTGGTTAAGAGCGTTGGGCCAGTAACCGAAAGATCTCTGGTTCGATTCCCTGAGCTGGCACAGTGGAAAAAATCTGCCATTTGAGCAAGGCAGTTACGACTAGGTGTCCCCCTTTCCCTACAGTAAAACATGTCTCAGATACTGCGTTACCACAGTGGGGCCTAGTCTCACAATGGTGCCCCCAACTGGTGGCCCATTGTGTAACTCCTACCCTAAACAGTTCTGCTCTGTGGATGTATTGTCATCTATAGCTAGGCAGTCCTGTAATTTCCTGTTAAGGAGGAAAGTTTCCCTAACTGTGGCTTCTATCAGCTAAGCTTTACCCCTGTGCTGGTTATAATAACATCTGCCTGTGGCTGACAGAGGCGGGAGGACCACACACCGTCACGTATGGAGGGTCTGGCTCTGGAGGGCAGACTGAGCAGTACTACCGACCAACAGATCCACCAGCTCTGCTCTGCTGTGGTCCCCATGTCCAGCCCGACCAGCTGAAGCCTCCAACAAAAGCAAACAAGGCCGTAAAAAGCAGAGTGGGGGTGCTGTCCTTGGAAAGGCCTCCCTCTGATGTAAGGAAATATGGCCTGCACATGGGGGTGATAGAGAGCACCCCCCCACAACAAAATGGACTGTGTTTCTCTTTTTTGGAATATATCGTTTCTTTATTTATTCAGACAAGACAAAAATAAACAAATAAGATACACACACAGACATATGCAGCCTAACATCAACATGACTACCTCTATTCCAACCCACCCCATCCCCTCCAGAGGTAGGCAGGCCTACAATTAAGGGAGACAATTTCATTAATCGTCAGTTCATAATCTGGCCTAAAGTATTTTATGAAATGGCCAATAGGCCTACTGAATGATGAAGGTGCATACATCAGCAACACAACAAAAAAAAACTATCGAAAAAACAATGCATGGGAGATCCGCCTAGAACTTTTACATGTCATTCTTAAAAAAAATTTTTGAAGATGGTCATAAGATTCATATGAAGCATTGTCCTCTGCCCCAAGTAAGTAAATAAATAATAATAACATAACCATAATTATACATTGGACAATATATATACAATTAAGGGAGACAATTTAATTAATCGTCAGTTCATAATCTGGTATGGTTACACATTGATGGGAGAATATCATTAATGATATAGAAATATTGGGGTATCTAAGAACATGAATAGTGAGTTACTAGCGCCACCTGCTGACCACTGCAGGAATGGAGCCCATACTAGGTTACAGTCAGTGAGGGTCGCTCCTGCTTCCAATGTCTAAGAAGAACTCTTTTGGCAGAAGTAAAGGCCAGCAAGAGAGTGAACTCTGTCATTTAATGTAGAGCCCAACACTATACATTTATAGTGTCCCCACTACTTCACAAATAGCATAGATTATACTCTTCCACCAGTCTGCAATAGAGGCACAGGACCATCAAATATGAGTGATTGATCCTGTGTCTCTCTTGCATCTCCAACTGTTATCATTCGGCAATAGCTTGGTTTTACACAGCTTCTCTGGAGTCCAGTGCCACCTGTGAATCACTTTAGCTTGTATACATTTGTTAACCATTTCTTTTATAGGTTGTATTTTTGTCACTTTTGCCAATGGTTCAGCCATTTCATCTAGTAGGCAAGAATATACTGTAAAGGAGGTCAAGCTTTTTCTATTGTTTTGTTTAAACAAAAGCCTTTCAATTGAGTTTTTAGTTGAACTAGTCAGAGGTTGACCAAGGTTTTTAGCCAGACAGCTCTGTAATTGTAGGTACCCACTGGGTAAAAACTGGTTGAATCAACGTTGTTTCCACGTCATTTCAACAACAAAAAATCTGTGATGACGTTGAATCAAAGTGGAAAACTGATTGGATTCGCAAAAAGTCATCAACGTAAGAGCATTTCGTATTTTATTCACCAAACTTTTAACCTAAATCCAATGACATGGTGACATTTGTTGTTGATTTCACGTTAAATTCACTTTAGTTGACTTCTCAACAAAATGTAAATCAAAACTAGACATTTAACTGATCTCTGTGCCCAGTGGGTATTTCCAAAACTGTGTCTTAGGCAAATCATATGTTACAGAATACAGACAGATGGTCAAAGTTATACATTGTGGGGCCGTCAAAGAGATCACCTAGAAGCTCGATGCCAGCTTCCTCCAGACTCCCCAGTCTGCTGTTTTCCCCCCTATTACAATTGTTTTGTTTTTCCAGATTGGTGCAAAAACTGTGTTTTTGAGATCCCATTATCCTATTTTAAAAACATTTATCAGAGCCTCACGGGACATTGTTGAATGACCCTGTTGTCTAGGGGATAGGGACTGAAATGCCCAGCACCAAGGTGATACTTCCTCCCCCATCTCCTTCTCCATGTAATACCAGTCAGTTTGTACAGCTCCATTCCATCCTGGTCTTCATACACTTAGCTGTTTAAGGCCATAGCCCCCTCTAGAGGGGTGGGCCTGTTGTTTTTTCAAGCCCAAAAATGATGGCCTCATTTCCCCCATATA